ATCACCTTTGAAGACTGCCATGACGGACTTCAGTGCCTGTCAGGAGCACACAAGGTGGCACATCAGATCAGTGTGCGGTGCTGCCACTGCTCAGCATCCCCAAACTCAGAAAGTCCAAGTCCTACAGGTGCTCTTCCTTCACTCAATGTGTCCTGGCTGCTTCCAAGTCTAAAGCAACTACTCTCACATGCATACAAAGGCTGTTTTGTCCTTTACTTAGCGTTCTTTTATCCCAATTGGAATTCTCGGGCTTTCCAAGCCCATCTCTCTCAACAGGTCTTAAGCCTACGTGCATTTATGTTGGGTGGAGTGTGATCCAAATCTGAATTCTATTTGCCATCGGCACAATTCCCATCACAGCGGGAAGGGGGCTAAGGGGGCAAGGCAGCAGGCAATCTGAATGGATGAAGTCTCTGGCAGCTGGCAGGGTGGGTAGAAGGTCACAAAGACTCACGCCAACCAGGCCAAACCCAGGGACTTGGCCAGGGAAAGCACAGCAGGCCTGCAGCTGCCAGGGCTACTCGGATGAGGTCAGACCGCTAGTGCATAAAGAGCACTGCACATGCTGACTAGAAGACCATGGACCCTTGTTCAGGATGGGCCCACGGAGGAGAGTGCCGGGTGCTGACCAGAAGGCACTGCACCCCACATGGGCACCCAGCAGTCGTGAGTTGCTGCTACGCACACGCCATGAGACTGCTGAGTGCCTGTCACATGCAGCCTGGCGGTCCCAGGCAGCTCAGGTCTCCTGCACTCCCTAGGAGGACCCGGCGCTCAGTGGCTTTCCTGAGCACTGCTGGCATGCTAGTTGGCACCTCCCGCTCCTTCCATACCCCAAACCGCCCGGCGAGTTTTCATGGGTACCTCCAACGTCTGGTCATGCAACAGCTGCTGCCTGTTCTGAGGCCTCCTAGAGGTGCAGGGGGTACAGTGTGCGGGCAGCTGCAATCAGTCAATCCTCTGTTTTGGGGCCCTGACCCCTCCCTATGAATGTCTTGCTTCTGTTTGAAGCACTGTTGAAGAATACAATTTGTTTCTCTTTCAAGCGGAGCAGCCTGTAGTTAAAACAAGGCAAGGGGGCTGGTGAGATGGCTCAGTGGTCTAAAGCACCTACTTAGTACAAGCTAAGCTAAGCAAAAACACAGGAACCGTGGTTCAATCCCCAGCACCACATGCCAGCCGGCCCCGTCCCCCTGGTGGGCTGAGCTGGCCACACACACCCACACACGCAATAAGTAAATAAATAAATATTAAAAAAAAAATAAGAAAATAAAAACAAGGCAAGGACTCTGATGCCCAGTGGCACGGCATTCAATGGGTAATCTTACTAATTGTTGCTTTTTCTGTAATCTCTCCACAGTGGATCCCTCTAAATGGCCACAGACAGCCAAGTCTTGCCAGCAGACAACCAATGTCTGGTGGTCACACCAGATCTCAGGTAAACAGGCACTAGCAAAGACCTGTTATGCCAGCCAAACTACTGCTGGCGGACAACTCCTGTGCTCAGGCTAGACCTTGCCCTCAACACACACTCTGTGCACAAGGGAGGCTATGGTGTCACATACAACCCTGATAGCAGGATATTTCCACCCTAGTGTCAAGGACAAAAGACATGAGACAAGAATGTTCACATACAACCAACTTCCTATGGTGGAAGGTAAGTCTGATTCTGTCAGCATTTCGTTAACTCTTAGCTCTCAACAGGCAGATTGCAGCAGGCTCCTTCACATTCATGAAAGAAAAAGGATGCGGTGAAAGGGTATCAAACAAACAGCAAATGGTAAGGAGAGAAAGGGAAGCCAGGAGGACAAAAGAAGAAAGGTGCTCTCATAATAGATGGAGTGGCCCCTGAACACGCACCTTTACTGTGGCTCAGAGTTGCCTTAACGGGCTGCACTCTCCTGCAGACCCTGCGACTATGACGACGACGGTAGAAAGTATCTTAACATCGCCTTGTGTCAGGCAGCGTGCTGGATGGTGTATGTACACGTGTATATGCACACACACATGCACACAGATACACAAATGTACAAGGCACGCACAAAGCTGAACACGGTATACACACACTTTCTCCTACATTCCTGTGTTGGGGCTGGTAGTGTCTGTTGCACACAGATGTTAAGCATTGTGCCCAGGGCTCCAACCTCCTGCCCCCTTCTGAAGGCCTCCTGGTGTGTCAATGTCTCCTCCTAAACACAGATGCAAACATCCACAGCATGTCCAGAAGGAACCTGGTGGACCTAGTGACCACCAGAGCCTCGATTTCCTCAGGAGGCACTGGTATGGACAAGCCCTAAGGGCACACCTGCTTTAAGTATAGGCTCAAGTCACTAATTCCTGCTAAAACCAGCTGTTAATACTGACAAAGGTGGGGCCAGGATTCCCTTGGGCCTTCTCCTGGAGGGTTGGAAGGACTCCAGCTCCCACTGTCCCTCTGACCATGGACTAAAGGCCAAAAGGAAGACCCTGCACACCCATATCAGCTTCTCTGGGGACCGGAGGTATTTTTATCTGAATACCCACCCATTCCAAAGGTCTAACCCAGCAGGCATTTTGCCCCTTTAATCTGAAGCGTTCACACACCTGCTCCCTGAAGACATGTGTAAAAGGGCTTCACAAGAATGTTCAAGAGGAGCAAATGTATCAACTAAGATCAAAGGCCCATGAAACAGAGTACAGAGTCAGCTTAAGGACTTATGAGCTGGTGTCAACCCTGCAGACAAACCTTCCACAGATACATAAGAACATCTATTAGCTTCTGCCCCATGAAAAGGGGGATCCTGCACACTTTCTGGCAGTTACAAATGATGAGTACATAGTACACAAAGGATAGTGTTTGTGGATAAAGGCCTAACACCAGCCACTCCCGGCAATGTACACCAGCACCATCCCCATGTGGTAGGCACCCTCACCCAAGGGTCCTGGTTGAGGAAGGAGTGCCCCAGGTCTGATTTCCTAGGCTGCCTAGAAAGCAAGGCCCAAGTGCTAAAGCCTTTGCTCATCCACTGGAAAGTCGAAGCAGCCAGAGCCGCAGAGCCCCACAGAGAAGGCAGGCCACGGTTGGATGTCTGGCGGGAGATGGCTCAGAATCCATGGCTTTCTCAGGGCCCTGGCTACAGGCCATGGGGTACACACACTCTCTTTCCTGGGGGCCCCCTCTCTACTTTCCCTGTGCTCCATCTGGCCACAGGACTAGCTGCTGAGCAGGTGGCTAAAGACCGACAGGCTGAACCGAGGCAACCTCCCCGGCTCCAGCACACTACCCCGGCCTTGGAGGCCTGCCTGGAGCTGATGAAGCAGCCTACACAGCTGGGCATGGCCTCTCAAATGATATATTTTTAAATGGTTTCTACCCAAGTAAGGGTAGAAAATGCCTCCAGTGATGCCAGTGGTGTTATTCCAACCTGTGGCTAGTAAAATATAATAACATGGATAAGTTGTTTTTATTACCTCTCTAGCTTATTAGCTAATAAAATACGCTCAGCATTAAAAATTTAACTGAGGCTATGTATCACGTCCAGAACTCAGAGATCTAGATTTCCTTCAGGGGAGACCCAAAAACTGTCATTTTTCCCAGCCTTTTTACTTATTTAAAGTCTCTGCAAAACGAAATTTTCTCTTGATGGTCTATGCATACATCCAACCACTGCCCAGCAAGTCAAGCCCGAAATGTCAACTACACCAGAAGGAAAAAGGGACTTGCCTGGTGGAAAGATGAAAGACAGAGAAACTTGCAGGGAAGCAGGAGCTGTGGGACCCACAGGCACAGGAAAACACAAGCATGTCACTAACTCACCCCCGAGCTGCCCCAGCTGGGTCCTGGGGCCTTGAGCAAAGCTGGCCAGAAAGCCTGCACTCTGAGGCTAGGTATGTGCTGGACTGGACATACCCAAACCTCTTCTCTTATTGGGTCCCTTAGGTCGGAAGAAGAACTAAAGAGGAGAGAAGAAAACTTATGAACAGACACTGTCCCCACGTGAAACAGAGTGGACACCACAAGGCCACCTACCCCGGATCTGGTCCTGGAGCTAAAGGAGCGAGGCTCACCCCAAAGAGACTATCCTCTCCAGCAGGGTGTCTCTCTGCACACACTGAGACGTGACTGATGTTTCCCTTCATGGGACTGGAAAAATGATGATGGCCAAACACATTGCACTGTGCAACACTGCTATCTAGATGGACACAACTAAAAGTTCTCCCTTCCATCTGTAGTCATTGGGGACAGCACCAAACATATACTCTGGCTTTACCACCGTGCCCACACCCTCTGGCCTCCCTGGCAGGAACCAAATGCAGCCAGTCCCCAGGCCCAGAGATGGCCGAGATCCGAGCTGAGGGTGTGCAAGCTTTAAGTTCATCTCAATCAGGCTGGCACAAGGCAGGGCTCCAAGACAAAGAGAATGAAGTTCAAGGGACAGAGGTCTATGGCCAGACAGTTCTAACTACAGGAATAGCAAGAACAGTTACAGAGGTGGCACAGAGGATGCTGACCACATTTCTTGGCAGCCTAACATTTTCAACAGTGTAAACAAAGGAATATGCCCACACCCCACTGCCTTGCTCTTGAAAACCCTGACCATGACACCGATCTTAGGATCAGCATAATCTGAGAGACACTGAAGGTGCGTGGGGTGTCTCACAGCAGCTTCAGGGGTAGGATCTGGAGAGAGGGCTGTAGGGAAGGGCCAGAAGGGGATTACAGCGGGCACATTGGCCTGCCTGCAATGTCTGCCTTTCACCATCTGTCTGATCTTGTACCACTAACAGTGTGCATCACAAGGAAATAGCACGTCTCATTTTAAAGAGAGAAATAGACACTTAAAAAAAAACTTGAAATAATCTTTCTTTGAATAGGATTCTTTAAACAAGGGAGTTCACCCATTCCTGGGCATCTCTATAAACCTGCACTGCACACTTGGCCAGGATAGACCAGGACCAGCAGAGGCTCCCGTGAGCACAGGAATGTTCTGAAGCCCCCTCTGCAGCACTGGGGCACTTACCTGGGCCATCTTGGCAAGGTCTAAGGAAGGCCTCTGCTCCTGCACATCTTCGGGGCGCCGCCGTTTTACACCAACCTTCTTGTCATTAAGGACACATGGCTGGGAGCGGCTGCGGGAGAGCCCACTGGAACGTCTCACCAGCTCTGGCGTTGAGGCAGGTGTGCTGTTGGCTGAGGGTGGACAGTATTCCGTGAAGGAAAACTGTTCATGGGAGCAAGAGAGAGACCGCTGCAGGTCTAGCCGGCCTGCACCCACAGGATGTGGGTCGGGGCTCCAAGGGTCACCTGCCTGTCTGCAGGGGGGTGAGCCCAGGGCTCCTCGGCTGCTGGGCTGCGCCCCAAAGCGGTGGTGTAGTCCCGCCTGGTGGCAGGGTGAGGACAGCCCATTGGCCCGGGCAGGGAGGCTGAAGCTGGAGCTCCTCTGCATGGTGCTGGCGCCACTGGAATAGCGCTGCACACTGCCACCACTGTAGCACCGTCTCTTCTCCACGGGAGTCCAGACTTTGGACCCCAAGGGCCGCCATGATGTCCGGCAGCTGGACATCTCATCAGAGAAGGACAGTGACCGGCACTGGCGCTTGCTTGGGGGTGCGGAAGGGTTCCCATTGTGGTCACTGATGCTGAGGTCTTTGATCAGGCTGGTCACTGCACAGGTGGTCACCGCCTCTCGGTGCCACAGTGAGCCGTCCTGACACTTTTCAGGGAGGCATTCCCAGATGCTGGCGCTCGGTTGGTCAATCTGAAGAGGGCATTTCCTATCCAGGTCTCGCCATCTGTCATTTTCTGATGCATAAATGACAAAAAAAAAAACAGGTTTTGAGAGGCCTTAACACCAACCATCTATTTTTGTTTTCCACATAGCATTTTGGAGACAGAAAGGCTTAAAAACCATCCAGTTCAGCCTTATTTTACAAATGAGAAACTGAGGCTGAGAGAAAAAGCAAATCTCAATGTGTTAAGTTAAAAGCAGAGTGAGAAATAGGACTTACATACATCCTCTGGATTCCTGACACCATTTTCTTCCCAGCATACCACACTGCCTCCCAGAAAAATGCAAAGCAATGTTTTCCACACAGAATTCTTTCTTAGCTTACAAGTGGGAAACGAACCCACCCCACCACTCTGGTGGCAGAGTCAGGGCAACGTATGGGGCTAAGTCCCTACTCAGTTCTTGACTGTTCTTCAGGTGGGAACTGATTCCCTAGAAGACTAACACAAAGTAGAGTCTTCCAACACTTCAGAAGATCAAGGTCAAAATGGGGCTGGGGTACTTCCATGTCAGTTTATTTATATCCCGCCTTTAAAGCATTTGCTGTAAATAGAAAATGGATCTCTTATGGATTATGTCCCCTCTACCAAATGCTCAACATCAACAGTTGCGGCCAATCACAGCACTTCTTCTGTGTTTCTTTGACTTCTGGCTGAAACTGAGGATATTTAAAGTAATTAAAATCCATAAGAGCAAGTCTTGAGTTGCACAGACTTAAGAACATAATTTAGATGCACACATTCATGTCTGTACTCGATTGTATGCATAAATAAGCTAACCCTATGGATTGCTAGATCTGCCCTTGAACTTTCATTTTGGTGAAATCATCAAGATTTGTTATTTTTCAATACAGAATCAGGCTTCATGCTGGGAATTCAAGGAGATGTAAAGATAAACTTGACATGGTTCTTGTATTCACGTTTACAAAAGCACAGTTAAGAAACATGCTATGCTGTGAGGAATCAACATGCCAGCATTTTCTATCTTCCAAACCTGCACATATTTATAAACTGTGCAAACGTAAATAGCTTGAGTCAGGCAGTCAGCAGAAGTGGACCGTAACATAGAGCTCACAGGGTATCTAAATGAGTTCCAGGCCTCTGGGGCGACAGGGTTCACTCATTAAGACTCCACCCTGGGCCACGCGATCCACACAGCATGTTGCACGCAGCACAGTCAAGTCCAGAGAGGAAAAGCAAGCGTGGTGGGGGTTGAATAACTGGCCCAGGGTCACACAGCTTACATGATGCAAAACCAGGCTGGTCTGACCCTAGGACCACAGTGTCTGTCTTCATCACACTATAGTTCTGAGACGCACCATGGGGAGCCTGACACCAGCTCTGTCCCAAGAAGCTTTTGAGCAGGCCAAGATACGCGACTCAGATTCAGAAAGTTGCGATTTACCCATCTGAGAGGCAGGTCTTCTGCAGCAAAACCCACAAATTTAACTCCTTTACTTCTAATTCTACTCCCAATTCACAAAAGGTATCAAGAAACAAGACATTTCTAGGCTGAATTTAGACCCTTACCTCTCTGAATGTTAAAACAGAAACATTTAACCTACCGAAAAATAAAACTGTACAACTAAACAAGTTTTGAAGTCATACGTATATGCAAGGAACAGAAGCCCAGTTACACGGGGGAGTCTTGGTTCTAGTACCAAGAATCAACAAATGGGACTATATCAAATTTAAAAGATCCTGCACAGCAAAAGAAACAATCAATAGAGTGAAAATAACCTACAGAATAGGAAAATATTTTGTCAGCTATTCCAGACAGAGGATTTATATCTAGAATATATAAAGCAATTAAAAAATTAGCCCCCAAATAAAAAACCCAATCAGAAAATGTATACAGGAAATGAATAGTCACTTCTCAGAAAAAGAAGTACAAATGTCTAATAAATGAAGTTGGGGGCCGGGGAGATGGCTTAGTGGAAAAAGCGCTTCCTTGGCAAGCGCAAGGGCCCGAGTTCAATCCCCAGTTCCGTGAAGAAAATAAATAAATAAATAAATAAATAAATAAAGTGTTCAACATTGCTGGCCATTAGAATACAGGGAATTAAATCACTGTCTGATTTCTTTCATTCAAGATTAGTCTCAACATACACCCATTTGTCTCCAAATGACTCACATTTAGCCTTCTTTATGGCAGAGTAATACTCTATTGTGTGTAAATGTATTTTCTTTATCCATGCATCTACTGATAGGCACATGGGCTCGTCCTAAAACTTAGCTATTATTCATTGTACAGCAGCACAATTCATAATAGTTAAATCTTGGAAGTGACCTATATGTTCATCAACAGATGAGTGGATAAACAAAATGCAATGCTTACACACACTACAGTACTACTCCGCCATTCAGATAAATTGTAGGGAAATAGATGAGGCACCTTGAGACCATACAGCAGACAAGTTTAAGTATCACATTTTCTTTTACATGAGAAACCCAAAATATAAATAAAGAGCAAAATCAAAGAGATGATAATAAGTAGGCAGCTAGAGGGTGGGGCAGATAGCTCAGTGGCATAAGTGCCTGCTTTGCAAGCATAAGGTCCCGAGTTTGATCCCAGGTACTGCAAAACAAAACAAAACAAAACTAAGTAAGCAGCTAGATCTTTCTCCAGAAGGAAGATCAGGAGCTGGAGGGAGGGAGCAGAAGGAAGGGGATGAAAAGAGAATTATGATATGTCACATACGCAGACCAACTCCCACCAGGAAGATGAGAGATCTGCAAACTTGCACCAATGAAACTTTTTAAAAAGAGACAAGATAGTTCTCAAAAGTTGCTGACTGCGATGCCCTGCACGAAGCACCACAATCATCAGCTACCCCACTGGTTCAAGGGGGATAAACCACGTGGCAAAAGGGGAGGCCAAGCACAAGGCATAAGCACCGCCCTGGCAAGCACAAGGTCCGGAGTTGGATTCCCAGTACTGCAGAAAAAATGGGGGAAGAGGGAGGCCAGAGGAAAAGCCAGGTCAGAGTTGTGTGTGACACTCCTTCCACTCAGGCACCCTGCTGTAGTCATGCGACATAAAGCCTGGGAGGCCAGGACAGCGGGCAGGGGACATAAGGAGAAACCCACACAGAGGCTTTATCCACCGAGTCTCAGGAGCTGGGAATGCGAGGAAGTGATTTCCATAAACCCACGCAGGCCAGTTCAGACCCAAAGCAGGACCAATGAGATACTCAATTCCCCTCATCACAGAGACTTGCAGGCCCTGCCCGTGGCCTAGCCAAAGCAAGTCCGGACACCTGTCATTCAGCTGGATTAGATAAAATTACTTCCGAATACAAACACTACCAAGAAGTGTATTTTTGTAAGTTGCATTTATGTTGTTCAAAGATACTTTCACTATCCATAGAAAGTATTCTCTCCAAGTCCTAATCATTCTTTTAAAACAGTTTCCATTTGATATCAATCATCAGGTCAAAGTTCAGTGGACTAAACTAATATAAAATTAGAAGAAATATAAACTCACAGACTGAGTAATGACCAGCTTTGTTATGCAAAAGGAAGAAAAAAGTAGAGTATTATGGATGATAATGATTTCCATTAAAATAATGACACTAAAGTGGTAAAAATATTGCAATGTCCTACAGTAGGGGGCTGGATAAACACAGTATCAAGGAACAACACGGAGCATAAAGCAGCCCATCTCAAGGAGCCCGTAAAGATGTGGGAGATGCTGGCCATGCGATGCCGTGATAAAAAGGCAGGATATAAAACTGAATGATGCTTATTTAGTAAAACATGTATGTGTTATATGGAAGATAAAAAGGAAACAGAAGCGATAATAATTGATTGGCAGACAGCTGCTTAATATACACTTTCTTTTTTAAAAATTTTTCTACAGTTTCTAAATTTTCTATGCAAACAAAAGGCTTAGCAGTACGTGAGGGCTGCGCCCACTAAGCCTACTGGTCCTGTTCGACATAATCCAGGAAGTCAACCAGGGCCAGGGCCTAAGCCTCACCTTCCTTTGGGCTTTCAGGAGGTTGCTGGCCACTGACTTCCCTTTAGGGTCAAGGCACTGAGGCACCCCAAGGGCTAGGGCTGTAGCAGACTAAGGAAGGAGCCCAGCCACAGTGCAGGGGGCCCCATGATGGCAGCATGGACTGTGCGTTTAGCTGCCATGGGCACACATGGAATGTGGCTCAAACAGGCCTCAAAAACCTGTGAGGGCTGGGGAGATAGCTTGGCGGTCTAGGTGCCTGCCTGGAAAGCACAAGTACCCGAGTTTGATTCCTGGTACTGCATGCCATGTGGGCCCTGAAACTGGGCATGGTGATGCACTCCTGTAATCCTAACACTGGGTGTGTTGACACAGGAGGATCACTACAGGTCTGAACTATGTAGCGAGAGCCTGTATCAAATAACAGTAATTTTTTAAAAACATGAAATTTGAAGAGGTTGATCCTGTCTCTGAGGATGCCACTTTCCATGCCATTTTTGTTTCACTGGACTGGTATTTTTCCTACCTCTAGGAAACGATAAGGGAACTTGCAAGGCAGAAATACACAACCGTGACGCTCTCATCTAGCAGCGCCATTCCATTCCCTTGGCCATCTTGCAATCTTGCTGCCAGACAAGACATCTAGGGGCCCCTATTCCAGTCCCACATCCTCACTGCCTCTAGAGAGCTTTCCGAAGGCCCCACTGACTATGATCCAGTCCCCAGATAGCTATCCATTGCTCCTTTTGTTTTTTCCTTTAGAAAAGGTTTCACCATGTAGTCCAGGCTGGCCTTCAGCTCACTATGGAACCCAGGCTGGCCTTGAACTCATGGCAACCCTTTTGCCTCAGCTTCTGGAGTCCAGGGATTATAGGCATGAGCCATGCCTGGTTTAGTTATCTACTGCCTCTTGAAAAGATGCAAATGTTTTAGGCTGGCATCTAGGCCTGTCCTTTTGTGGTTTCCCTAGCAGAACCAAAATCCTAGGTACAAAACTTACGACATTGGAAGCTGGACAAGAATCATGATTAGTGAAAACCATCCTTAAAAATTC